ATTTTTTTTTTTTTTTACCCGATTTCTGTTTCTAAGAAAAATGAGAGCCACATATGAGGCTATTCATTTTAAATTTTCATAAAACAAAGGCAGTATAATGTCCTCATGAGTGGATATAAGGCCCTTGTAGAGCAAAATTTAGTATTTTGATCTAGACAACCCAAAATGTGATGTCCACATATGTGGACGCCAGGTCCTCGGAGGTTAAGGATATAATTCTGCCACTTATCTTCTTCAGTGCCATGTGCCAACACGTGAATAGAGCAGACAGAGCAGCTATCAGAACTCTACTCCAACAGAGGTCGATTAGCTTGTTAACAGTATTACATCTTCACTGCGTACAGCTCTGAACACTGTGACTTCTCTGAAAATGAAAGCTTCAAATCAGAAGTACTTGATTCCCTGGTACAACTCAAATGTGTACCAAGGCACATCACTGATTGAAGAAAATAAGAACAATGCTAGGTTTCTCTTCAGCACTGTAGCCAGGCTGACAAAAAGTAGAGCTCTGTTGAGCCAACCATTCCCTTCACTAGAAAAGACTTCATCAGTTACTTCACAAATAAAACTGCAACCAAAAGAGAAAAACTTACTCATAACCATCTCACAAATGTAATATTATGTAGAGCTACTTTCAATACCATTTATATTTATACAGACTTTTTATCTCCAATTGATCTTAGGTAATTATAGACCAATCTCAAACCTTTCTCTTATCTCAAAAATTCTTGAAAGAGTAGTTGTAAAACCAATAGCTGATCCGATTCCTGCAGAGGAATGGTTTATTTGAAGAGTTTCAGTCAGGTTTCAGAACTTGTCACAGTATATAAACAGCAACAGTAAAGGTTACAAATAAGCGCCTTTGACAGTGGACTCCTCTCTTTGCTTGTCCTGTACATCTTAGTGCAGGGTTTGATACCATTGACCTTATTTTATTAAAGCAATTAGAGAATGCTGTGGTATTGCGCTGCGGTGGTGTGAATCATATTTCTCTAATAGACTCCATTCATGTAAATGGAGAGTCCTCTTTACACACTAAGGTTAATTATGGAGTTCCACAGGGTTTCTTGGTAGGGCCAATTCTGTTTATATTATAGATGCTTCCCCAAGACAATATCATTAGAAGGCATGGCATACATTTTCAATTTTAATGGAGATCACACCCATCTTCATGTGTGTCATCTGCAGTCCAACGACATAACTCCTGGTTTCACTGGGACCACAAACCCCTCCTCCACAGTAAAGTGGTGAGTCACAGAAGGGATCTGGTTGTATTCTGGTTATAGTCCAATAGAAAATCAAGGGTGCCAATGTCATTTTTCAGTTATTAAATTGCCATCCCACAGCAACTACATTATTTCTAAAAGAATTATGAATTTCTGTTTCAAGTCTGTAACATGAAACAGAAATCTATGTCATAGAATTTCTATTTACATAAAGAGTCCAAAATTTCTATTTATTGTGACTTAAATTAATTAAAAATCACAGTTAATTGCCATTTAATGGGGTCAAGTTGTCAAAATTCCATCTTATTGCTTTTTGATGCACCAAAGTTGCACCAAAGACAGCAGCTCACTTGGCCCCATTCTTTGAAATAACAGTTTCAAAAGCAACAAGGACACTAATAACTTTCTTATATTCATCCTGAAAATACTGTAATGCATGTACAGCCATATAAACATTGCACATTGTATACTGAACATTTTAATACCTCTAGTGGCAACTGTAAACCAGTGTTGGCCAGCAGTTTATTAGCCCAGGGTCCAGCGGTGATCACCAAACTCTTAGCATGATAAACACCCACAGAGGTTGACACTCTTACAACAGGGCCAGGCTTGATGTCCGTTACCTTCTCGTTGTCTCTTATAACTCCACCTAATTTCTGAAATTGCCCCTGTAAAAGAAGAGAGCAGCAAAACATTTGAAATTCCTGTTATAGCTGTTAAATGGTACAGTAATAGCTACCGGAATGAATGCAAGAAATGTATATGGAACTTTGTAAAGTGGATGATGATTAATGGACAGTGGGTTCAAGTACATTTAATTTATTATGAAAAGACAAAACAAAAACAGATTCCTCATACTGACTGTCTTTGAGCATGCATTTAAAAATACAAAGTCCTAAAATATTTTGGAATGCCTGGACTTGTTTTTAGTAATGATGATATCATTTTTACTTTTTTATTTAAAATATTTCATTTGTTAAACTGGAATTTTTAGACTTGATTCTGTCAAATTTCAGAACAAACCAAAACATCCACATTCACACACTCAGGACACGGCACAAGTCCGTATCATGTTATCAGTGGTATACCTGTACGGTTTTGAGTGTGCGGTCAGCAAATAGAACTCCAGCAGTTGTATCCACCAGTGCTCCGTCTCCCTTAGCCAAGTTGACATTGGGAATGTGCTGACTAAAGATGTCATGGGTCAGGACAACCATGGGAACCTTGTTTGTTTGAAGGGTGTCCTTAATATTTTGGTAATTTTCACTCTTCTCTGGCCCCATAACCAGGAGCCCTGTTTGTCTGAAAGTGGAGATTAGGGGAAATTTAAGGCGGCATCTTGAAAATAAATCTTCAAAAAAAGAAATTAATAAACTAGTAATTGACTTTAATAGAGTGCAATGTTAACTTTGGCATAAAAAAAAAGAAAAGAAACGAAAGTATCATAAAGAGCTAGCTACAAACTGCACTGCTAAAAAAATGATTAAAAAAACCCACTTTAAGTATAGCATCAAGTCAATTAAACTTCTGGGATATTGATCTGGTCAGTTAAATAACAGACAGGATTGTTAATCGGTTTCAGCTGCTTTGGCACACTAGTGGAGTTTTGGAGGTGGACAACTGACATTTTTTCTTCCTCATCTTTTCTGACCTTTTTTTTTCACTAATTTTGAATTTGGCTAGGATCAGTGTCGTAACTGGCAACATAAAGTGAAACCTGGACCCGGCATGTAGTTAGTGAATGATATCTTGACTAGGCCCTAGAAGGTGCTTCACCCATCAGTAGGTCTGGTGTCTGCTCCTTTATGCAAGGAGGAATGGGATGAGCGATGGCAGAGCCCTACAAAATGACCTTCAACAAACCAGTAATGTGAATATTCTGAGGGTTATGAGAGCTCTACGTCCTTGAATGGGCAGTGTGTTCACTGCCTGCCACTGTGGAGCTCAATTGGCATTTTCCATAAATTAAAAAACCCAAGTACTCATATTCCACCCTTCATACAGCTCTAGGTTACTTGCCAAGTGGTGAGGACCCTTTACGGTCACACAGTGACTTTGAAGTGGTGGGGGTCAGACACGGGTGGAGCCACACAGGTATATCACCTTCCTAAAAGCATAGAGAGAGGCTGAAACCACATTTCTAGTTAAGGAAAAAATTCAACCATCCCCGCCTCCCTCAATTATGATAACTATCTCACAATAGAGAGCAGATATTGCTGCATTGCAACAGCGCTGAGGTGTTCTCTCCCCTGATCGTTCACACCACTTTCTTAGAGATACATTTTGAAACGTCCCTAGTTGTGACAGTGCATGCACAGCCTTATTGGTTACCTGAGCATAAAAGACAAATTGTTCATACAGAATTTGGCTGAAAATGGAAGTAATAGAAGAGTCACTACAGTGCGTAGTGTAGCTCCATAGTTCTTGTGTTGTAGAAAGATGGTTCTATATGTTTCTGTGTCAACTACTGCAAGGTGAACAAGGTATCACGCCTTCGATGCTTGTTTCCTGCGGGGGAACACGGTGGGTCTGTGTGCCACGCTGGAATGGTAGCGCTGTGCAGGGCGGCTGCTGTGTTCGCTTCGTATTACTCCTCACCCCCCCCACCCAATCCTGTGGCTTGTTATGTCTTTCACAAAGTTGTGCTGTGGACATTTATGTGCTTTTTGTGCAGAGGAGTTTTTTTGTTTCCTGTTCTCATGCTGTCCTGCCATGGAAGCACAGCACGAGTAGAGGTCTCTTTTTTTCCTCTTGTACTTTCCCATTGTAGTGTATATTTCAGTGTTTTTCTGTAATGCTACCGATCTCCGACTTGTATCCCCATGTAATGTCTGTGTTGTGTGTGTAATGTCGGAGGGGGGGTCCCATTTCACTCCAGGGCAACCTGCATGTGGCGAATAAAGCTTTGACTGATTGATTGATTGATTGATTGTATCACGGTTTCACTTCCGTTCAGCTTGTTTGCAGCCCCCGCCACTTTTCAGTGCCTCATGGACCGGGTGCTGCATCCACACACTGCATATGCTGCCATCTACGTCATCATCCACAGCAACACCACAGCGGAGCATGTGCAGCAGGTGGATGCCACCCTGGAGTCCCTGTGGCGGGCGGAGCTCACGGTCAACCTGAAGATGTGTGCGGTTGGATGGAGGGAAGTACAGTAGCTGGGCTACCACTTGGGAGGTGGGCAGGTGTGTCCACAGGTGGAAAAAACAGCAGCCATCGCATCTATGGCTCCACTGCAGGGGAGGGGTGGTACAGGGCAGTACAGCTGTATCGCATCCAGTATTCACACTCTGGAAAGTTGCTCTGCAGTGTCAACGGTGTGAAGACAAAACTCAATATTCAGTTTATATAAATACAAGCACGAAAAGTGTTACATGCCGTGACTACGGTTACATAGATACTGCACAGTTTAACGAGAGATGGACTCAGCCAGTAAACTCAAGTTCACTAAAAATCGAAACGTTAAGGACCTTACCCACAGAATATTAAGTTATCATATACCATCAGTTCTTTGATGCATTAATTACAGATGGTGAATAAAACTATGAAACCAAGTAATAAATGGACCCATTAATATCACCTGTGACATCATAGTGGCTGGACATCATTACTAGTGGTAATACCCCAGCTCCAGTGTGTTAAGTTATTGAGTCCTATAGTGAGAGGGTCTGATTCAGTGATCTGTCTGAGAGATAACTGACCCATCCGCGCCAGCACTGCTTTCACAAAGCCATTCCGAAATCTGTCAGCAGCCATAAGTCACTTGCAACCACAGCTTAGCCATTCATCACACAATTTAATGTGTGTGGTTGTGTGCTTGCAAATGTGTGACAGAGAAAGCAAAAAAAATCATGTAGACTCATAAATGTGATACGTCATTTGACCTGACCTGACATAACAGGTGACGCATGGTACAGCTTCAGCTGATGGATGTGCTAACACACTGTCATATACATGACAGGGAAAGGAAGATAGTCCAGAGGGTAGATTTTAGCTTAGCTCTTGCTCTTTTTTAATGGCTTATATTCTAGAAGCAGCTGCTCAAACCAGCCTGGCTTGAACATTTCTCATTGTGATGCAGTCATTTTTTTTAACAGCTCAAGGGCACAGGTGGCCTTTACTTGCAGACCCATCAGTCATAAGCTGTAGACCAGGAAATTCGCAGTATTTCTAAGGAACATAATGTGAGTGTGTTCTAGTACAACAAACTATTATTTTGAGACACAAATAATGAAACAATGTGCTATCAAAATTACTGGTAATGAGACAAAATGGGACAGTTTAAAGGAATATGATCCGGGTGGAGTGCCCACTCCGGGTCGGGGATGAGTTCCTGCCCCAAGTGGAGGAGTTCAAGTATCTCGGGGTCTTGTTCGCGAGTGATGGGAGAAGGGAGCCGGAGATCGACAGACGGATTGGGGCTGCAGCTGCAGTAATGCGGACGCTGCACCGGTCCGTCGTGGTGAAGAGGGAGCTGAGTGTAAAAGCGAAGCTCTCAATTTACCGGTCGATCTACGTCCCTACCCTCACCTATGGCCACGAGCTGTGGGTAGTGACCGAAAGAACGAGATCGCGGATACAAGCGGCAGAAATGAGCTTCCTCCGAAGGGTGGCTGGCCTCTCCCTTAGAGATAGGGTGAGAAGTTCGGCCATCCGGGAGGGGCTCAGAGTAGAGCAGCTGCTGCTCCACATCGAAAGGAGCCAGCTGAGGTGGTTCGGGCATCTGACAAGGATGCCCCCTGGGCGCCTCCTGGGTGAGGTGTTCCAGGCATGTCCCACCGGGAGCAGGCCCCGGGGCAGACCCAGGACACGCTGGAGAGATTATATCTCTCGGCTGGCCTGGGAACGCCTTGGTATTCCCCCGGATAAGCTGGAGGAGGTGGCTGGGGAGAGGGAGGTCTGGGCCTCTCTGCTTAGGCTGCTGCCCCCGCGACCCGGCCCCGGACAAAGCGGATGAAGATGGATGGATGGATGGATGATCAGGAAAGTGAAAGTGCTGATGGGGGTTACACACAGATTTATGCCACTGTCATGTTTATAAACAAACTAATTCCTCCTCACTCTGTGAATGAAATGAGGTTCCGAAAGTTTAAAAAGAAAAGAAAAAAAAAAAGAAAAAGAAAAAGACAAAAAGGCACCGTTCCACATGTAACCAGGTGCTAAGAAACTGCTTACAACTCAGTATTGCACCTTAATAGCCGTTCTTTTCCCCATTCCCGTCCATTAACCATAGAGCACACCTTCTCTCTGTGCATTAAAACTCGCGCTTCTGTCTGGTTTGCTGTATGGTTTACGCCACTTGATTTACAGCAACTTTGTCGCTCTGTGACTTTCAAAATAAAAGCATCCACTCCAACAATATAATAGTCACTCATAACTTTACAAACTACTTTACAAAATATTAATGAGGTTATTTACACCACATTCAAAAGCATAGGAGCTGTCAACGGCCAATTCAGTGATGCTGGAGGTAATGAGAAAGTCATGCATTAATAGCTCCTGTAGATTGAGTTGTTGCTCTTGTGCGTACATAACACCTTGAACGTAACAAATCTCCTTGTTCTGGGTTTTCTCTCTGTTCTTCTGCTGACTCCTTACCTGTACAATTTCACTCCTGCCTCCCTCTCCAGCTGAGCCCACAGTTCATAGCACTCCTCCATCATGTGGGTGTAGAAGTTCTGCTCGTAGGCCTTGCGGATGATGCGGGTCTGGCCATGGGAACTCCCTCGGCTGTGGGGCAGTACAAACTGGAAAATATAAGCATGAAAACAACTGGTTAAATTACTTCTGCATCGAAGTAAGAAAATGCTCAAAAGTACATAAAACTGCAGTCTCGGCCGCAGGCCGCAAATATCATTATGACTCATTTACTGTACATTTTTGTATAAACTAAAGACAACAAGACCAGCTGAGGAAAATCAGACCCAGTCAGAAAGTATATAGAAGGGGAAGTCTGAATACCTTTGAAATTAACCCTTAGCTGTCTTCAGTTCTTTGTTACGTTGTACTGTTTGAGTGTGTTCCTCACGTGTTACCTGTTTAGGACTACTTTTGACTACATCTGGACTTGCTGCCTTACGTAACTAAAGCTTATTTTTTCATTTATTGAAATCTGTCTTGAAGTCTGCATTTTGGGTCCAAATTCTCCACAATCATCACAGAATGACACAACCGGTAACATGGACACAGTCAATGGTGAGGGACTGACAGCGACGCACTCCAGACAACGAATCCCTACATTATGGGACTCACTTGGCTATTGGAGGACTTCAAAGATACTGATCCCTCCCTGCCCAATCCTCTGGTGATAAGAGTGGCCGGTCTCTGCTTCACACCAGCCTCTCTACTCTCCACTCACTCTCTAGCCTCTTCAACTGTCTATTCTCCTCCACCACTGCCACCTGTATCCCAATCCAGGGGAAAATGGTCTCTGCCTAGGCCGCCTTAACAACGCCAGACTACTCGATTGGGGTTTGTCAGAGGCACTTGCTGCTTCAGCACTCCAGTCCTCCTTTTCCTGGAGAAAGCACAGATCCCACTGCTGCTCCTCACCCGGGGCAGCACCGCCTAAAACCCACCTCTGTAAAGCCAGGACACTTTACTTTTTTAATTCATTGAGGAAAACAGGCACAACCCTAGGTTTCTTTTGAGAATTCTAGCCAGGCTGACAAAGAGTCAGAGCTCTGTTGAACCAAATATTTCTTTAACTGTACCACAGATGTATCAATAAGTACGCCAGCTCTAATAACTGCTGATATTAGATAGGTCTCTACTATCAATCTTTCTAAGTTAACTTCAATAATTGCCCTGCGACAGACTGGCGACCTGTCCAGGGTGTACCCCGCCTTTCACCCTATGTCAGCTGGGATAGGCTCCAGCGCCCCCCGCGACCCTGAATAGGATAAGCGGAAGCGAATGGATGGATGGATGGAACTTCAATAATTTCTTCCTCTAAACCATCAATGTGCCTTTTAGACCCCATTACTGCCAAGACTGCCCAAAGTCCACCATGAATTAATTCTTCAAGTTTAAAGAGGATGATCTGTCTTTATTGACAGGCTTCGTACCACAGGCTTTTAAGGCAGTGGCAAATAAACCATTATTCATAAAGCCATTGTTTGATCCTTAGCTTATTACAGGCTAATTTCTAACCTTCCCTTTACCTCAAAAACAGTTTACTGATCATTTGTAAAGTAATGTTTTTTTTAAGAGTTTCAATCAAGATTCAGAAAAAAACAGCACTAGTGAACGTTATGAATGATATTTTTTTGTGGACAGTGGACTCATCTCTGTGCTTGTCCTGCTAGACCTTAATGCATTATTCAGTACCACTGACCACAATATTTCACTGCAGATATGACACTGCTGTGAAATAGGAACTTCGCTGCAGAGGTTTTGTGCGGAGTCTTCCTCGTACACAAAAGTAGCCACAAAGTTCCAAAGAGTTATGTGGTAGGAAAAAGTACATTTTACACATACTTCCTTTAGGCAATATTATTACAAAACACTGCATAAATTTTAATTGACATCATTGCTATAAAAAATTCTCTTTTTTTTCTTGGGACCAGAAAGAGAGAGCACATTTCTCCCATATTAACTTCTACTCATTGCCTCCCTGTTCAATTCAGAACTGAATTTAAAATCCTTCTTCTTACATACAAAATCTTAAATAATCAGACACCGTCATATGTTAATGACCTTATAGTAACTTTTTATCCCAACAGAGCACTTTGCTCTCAGACTGCCGGCTTACTGGTGATTCCAAGAGTTTTCAAAAGTAGAATGGGAGGCAGAGTCATCAGTTTTAAGGCCTGTCTACTCAGTTCAATTCAATTTGATAAAATATTATTTATGTAGTCAAATCACAACAATTTTTGCCTAAGGCATGTTTCCTCTACTGTGGAATTTATAGAAGTAATAACCAGCAGCTTGATAAAAATTATAAAGTCAGAGTTAAAATACAATACAGTTTGCATGATTAACTCCTTCAACACAACCAGTGTGTACGCTTCTAAATGGCTCCCCTCCTCAGGGTTTGGGAGCTTCTTTTTTTTCTTTAAATTGGCTAAACCCTCCAGGTGAGCTTCCTCCTTTAAGACGTCTGGAAACGACTCCGAAAAGGGAAAAAAATGAATCAGGAATGAAGAATAACGTTTTCAAACTATGAAATGCATAATGTTCACCCAACCTGAGAAACTCTGATACTGTCACTACATCAGAGTTCAAACGTCTAGGCTAGGAAGACCAGGACCACCACCACCTGAGGGACTGTGGTAATGTTCTGTAATACCATTACTTTTAATACTTGTTTTTCTTTACTCATGTATTTATTTTTAATTTCCATACCCCTCTTGGCTCTACCTTCTAATAATACTAATATGAGACTTAAGTAGATGCACAGACACAAATATTTCATTTCAAATACAAGGACTCTACTTGTTTTGCTCGCCTTTGTCTGTGCTGTATGTGACTTATCTGCTTATCGTTTCACGTATCTGTATATTGTTTTGTTTAAGGAAAATAAGAAGTACACTAAACTTTTGGTGTAGTTAAACTTAGTAGTTTTACTTTTGATGGTATTTTCCTAACTACTCTTTCATACTTTCTTCTTTCGTGACATTTTCTATGCATTCTATGAACTTGTAGTCAATTATAAGTAAACTGTAATGGAGTACTGTTACAGTGGAACGTAGAGAAACCTGATTAAAATGCAATGGGTCAAGTTAGACTCTTGACTCAAAATCGTTTCATGACGCACCTGCTCCAACAGCAGAGTCTTCTTGTTCTTTTTTGCCAGCTGATAGGCCGTAAAGGAGCCCTGAACGCCTGCCCCGATCACTATGCAATCAAAATCTCCGCTGGTCGACATGTTTAACTCACACACAGAGCTCACAGATCGAGGTCACGCGTTTTTAAAAGTGCTCCACAGACCCGCCTACTAACGCCAGGGGAAGGACGAACAAAAGCCTCCAGGAACTTTGCCCTGAGTGATGGCGGTCAGGAGACTGGATTTACGCCACGCCGAGCAGGAACCGAACGCTTATGCTGGACCGAGCGGAACTCTTCGCGGTTATGATCAGAAGTGCGTTGTGTTGTTGTGTGGATCTACGTCAGGTCCGTTTGACAATAAGGCACACCGCATAGCAGGAGTGCCTGAAAAATTTTCTGTAGGGAAATATTGCCACCAGTACATATACTGACAAGGAGCCAACTCTGCAGCTCAGCTGTAAATGTTCAAACTTCTTTTGGGCTGTATTTGGTGCCTCGTTTTCTGCTCATATATCAGACGGACTACTAAGAATATAAGATTTAGCCAAGGTAAGGTGGCTAAATCTGGGAGCAAAATATAGAATTAATGGTGAAATATATTTCGTTTAATTTGTATTCTGGGACAAAAATTTCAGGAACAAAAACACACACAAAAAACCAAAATATTAAATAAATAATAACTGTATGTAATAGTAGTAGTAGTAATAATAATAATAATAATAATAATAATACCTATTTGAACGAATACTTTTGTTCTAATAATCATTTATAGGAATAAAAGAAGTGTAAAGACAAAAAATACTGCAGGGAAAAAAAAGTGAAAATAACAACATATTTAATATTTTATTCCTTTATTTGTTTTACTATTTTATAGTGCAGAACAAAACTGAAGACAGTCTTTCAATTATCTAAATAAACAAACAGAAACAAAAAACTGAAAACATTTTCAAATATTTCAGACGAAGCAGCTTTAATAATTCATCCACACTTCAATTGTCTGTCACAGAAAACCTAACGATGAACTAATTTTACAACAGAACTTAGGCAGAATTCACATTTAGTATAAAAAGTGTCTTCTAAATGGTGCAAGTAAACACTTCTCTGAAATATTAGTTAACATATTGTGGGCAGGCCTGGTCTGGGACTAAAATCATGGGTCATCTGTGGCAGGGTCCTTCCAGTTTCATCTTGCCTTTTTCCAGCACAGCTAATGCAACACTCAGCAGATCAAAGTGCACCTGTATCAGTTATATAACCACAGAAAGCCTACTCAGGCCACAGGTCACTTCTCTGCAGCCCTGGAACAGACAGGTAGAAATGTCATAATTTCATTGTGTAATATTGTGGCACAGTACAAAACAATAAATGACGTAAACTTTGTAAAGTTTTACAAAAAATAAATTTTTGAAGTTGAGGTCATACCACACAACATATTAGACCATGTCAAAAACCTGAACCAAAATAGAGAAGCATGTTGGGAATAACTTCACACAATGATTCATCTTTAGCAGCCATAAGTTTAAGTAATTATGATGTAATGAGAGACCTTGTCTGTTTCTCTCTTGTGGATGAACTCTTTTTTTATCACAGGCCATTTGTTTATGTACAGCTCTCTTAATGCCTTGGCAGAGCAACAAGCCTCGACTTTGACTTTTTTTTTCTTTTTCAGGTATTGGGTTATATTTGCTGGTGTGCTCAGGATCACTGACATGTTCCATGACGTAGTTTTGGCAAAAATCCAGCTGCCAGACAAGCTTGGATCACACAGAGGAGTTCATGATCAGCTCATTTTTTTCTGACTGCAATGTCCCGGGGTGTCGAGTGACTGCAAAACAAACTGAACAAATCAGTCTTGTCTTCCATCACGTGTTTAGCGGCAGGGTAGAGGTTACACACAATGGTGATGTTTGGTGTTGTCTGTCCAAAAGACATTGTTCCAAAATTCTTATGCTAAGCTAAGTTCTTCCACCTTTTAGAGAAAAAAATGGTTGCTCCTTGGTAACTCTTCCAACGAACGGATGGATGGTTGGAGAGGTTGGAACAACAATCAACAAGTCTGCAGTTAGCTCTTGAAGAAAAAAATCGATTTTGCCTCTGAACATCATCAAAGTGGATTTTAAACCAAAGCAAAGATGCGACTGAAGTCCCCCAAAATTTAAGAACTAAAAAATCTAAGATAAATTTAAATCTAAGGATTTAAAAAAAATACTTAATAAGATCCTTTGCAGTCGAAACTGACAGTCTGAACGCATGGACGTGGTCAGATGCTGTTTATACAACCTTGCTATGCTTTGCCAGGCTTTAGCTGCAGCTCAGTTTAGTTGCTGCTTGTTTGTTTGTCCCTCTGCCTTCAGTTTTGTCTTCAGTAACTAAACAGGATTCTCTATTAAATTGGGATCGGGTGACAATGTTATAATAGACTGTTTCTTTGCCTTGAGATATGTTTTGGTTTAATTTGCAGGATGCTTTTAATCCCTATCCATTTGTACTTCATCTAATCAGGGAGTATAGCCCTGTACAGTCTTGAAGCATACCCAATAATCCAGGTAAGGCATACTCAGAAAGCCGAATCTGTTTATTTGGACATAACATTTTCAGTGGAAGAAGCATTTCAACATTTTAACAGGAGTTGTCTCTGATACATGATGGTCTAGAGATTCAAACGTTTATTTAATGATTTTTTTACTCCTCCAATGGGAGGAGTAAAAAAATCATTAAATGTCCTCAAATGTCCTCAAATGTATGTCCTTAAATAAACTGTCCTCCAGCTGTCCTCAAATGCATTTGAGGACAGCTGGAGCCTCAGCCCGAACAGTTCTCCTTTGTTGTCGATCAACGCTCAGATACCTCATCACCATCGACCTCTGCAACACAAGACTATAGAAATAAGGTCCAGTCTCCTCAAAAACCACATTAGACCTCTGCTGTTATTAATATATGCAGAATACCACCTCGTTATGTTGTACTTTCAACAACGTATCTTTTCCTCATTTCTATAAGACCTATCAACAGTGTAGGGCATGGCTATTCAACTAAGACGTTAGTTGGGCCAGATTTCAAACTGAGGAATTTATCTGGGCCAGATATTTTTTTGCAGCCAGTAAATGGTAAATGGCCTGTATTTATATAGCGCTTTACTAGTCCCTAAGGACCCCAAAGCACTTTACACATCCATTCATCCACCCATTCACACACTGGTGATGGCAGCTACGTTGTAGCCACAGCCGCCCTGGGGCGCACTGACAGAGGCGAGGCTGCCGGACACTGGCGCCACCGGGCCCTCTGACCACCACCAGTAGGCAACGGGTGAAGTGTCTTGCCCAAGGACACAACGACTGAGACTGTCCAAGCCGGGGCTCGAACCGGCAACCTTCCAATTACAAGGCGAACTCCCAACTCTTGAGCCACGATCGCCCCCAGCAGTAAGCAGCAGATCATGATCAATTTCAAACCCACACAACTATATTGAAAAACAAGTAATTTTTTTTATTCCTTTTCCCCCTGTAAATCTGGTGACCTCTCACAAATGCACACCAAAAGGTCCATTTAAAAAAAGGGAGCTATAACTAAACTATTTTTTGTACATTTGAAATAATAAGTAAAAAAAACATTTTGATAATTCCCTTTCAAATTAAAATAAATATTTTGCTGACCACTCATTTTTCCTGCCATGGATGGAGCCCCATCCGTCACAAGTATACAGACACGCTTCATATCCAGACCATTTTCCTCAAAAAGAGCTGAAATCTTCTCAAAAATTATTTCGGCAGCTTACTAACGGTAGTAAGCCGAGCAATTTCCCATCCAAAAAACTGACATATACGCACAACTGTGCATTATCAGTTCTGTCTGTGATCTCCTGCTATAGACATTACATCAGTTTTCTTCAGGTTCTTCAGCATTTCAAACTCGTCTGACGCCAGAACTTCAACTCTACGAATATTTGAACTGTCTGACAGGGTACGTTTTTAATAGCAGATGTCACATTTACTTTAATTTTTTCGTCATTTATCACCGCATCCACCACGTATGCAGTATTTCACTGTTTCAGAATCTGTGAAAGGCCTTTTCTTCTTCGCCAAGAAGGAAACACGAAGGGAAGCTGCTGCATATCTCTCTTGGGCTGTACAGGACCCTCACCATGGTAGTACAACTCCGGTTGTAAGATTATTAAACTCGCAATTAAACTGTACTTTTGCAGCACTCTCCTGAGATTGCTCTGGAAAGTCTGTGTAGAAAGTCTGGTGTTTGTCATTGTGGTGCCTGTGTAAGTACCGCAACACACTCACTGCAAATTAAACACATAGGTTTGGCATTTGGATTTGGCGGTAAAATGAATAAGTATTTGTCACTCCAGGCAGGGTTAAACTGACGGTTTTCATTGTCAAATTTACGCGTTTGGACTGAGAAAGACATGCTGTTGTCACATCATATATTATGATGATTGTTTAATATGGTTACATCACGGTGCATTGTGGGTTAAATATTGCTAGGCTACTAGGAGTGTTGCATTCACAGTCTACACTACGCTGTAGGAATTTTTAATTTTTTAAAATTAATTAATTAATTAATTTTTTGCGTTTTCTCTGTGTTTCTGCCAGGACCACAGGCAGGGCCACTCGCAGGTTGCTTCTGGGCTGCATGTGGCCCGCGGGCCGCCATTTGAATAAGCTTCGTGTAGGCACTAATGCGTTATTAAGTAATGTGTTACAGTAACTACGTTATTATTGTGGTAACGAGCACGGTAACTAGTTATTATGCCAAAATCAGCGTTAATCGTTACTGGGATTTAGATAGGGTCGTTATTCGTTACTTCATGTGGTGGCTACAGGGCTCGCAAAATCGCTAGCCCGACGTCCCGGAGCTAGCGATATCTCCGGTCGGGCGACCAAAATCTATCTCAGCCCCGCCCGTCGGGCTATATGATAACCCGACTCGGGCTAGCGATTTTGCGAGCCCTGGGCTATCGTGGAGCTTCCACAGATTCAGTAACATTAGCAAGTAGTGGAGGCCAGCAGGTGGATGAGGGAAAGGGGAGGCAGGAGGGGGAGAGACCCGAGGCAGCCGCCGGTGTCACCCGCCGGTGCAGGTGAACTGAACTTCAGGTAAGAAGTTATGACCTGCAGTCTATCTGGGTCAGATATAAACTAAGTTTAGGTGGAGTTTATTTTCGTTATGCTGACGTTTTCGTACTGCGTACTAGCTAGCATGACGGAGTTTCTATACAGCTGGGTGGGTGCTATGATGTTACTGATGTTGAAGTTTATTTTGTTCATAAGGTTAATTATTAGAGT